CCTATTCAATCGGTCAACTTAACGGAAATGATATGTTAAAAGGGAAGGAGAGAAGAAAGAAAATGAGAAGTAAAGAGAAAGGAGATGTATTTAGGGTTTACAGGGGAAGACGAGGGATGGTATAGTTTTAGTAATTTAGGTAAAAAAACAGATTTTAACGTTTGATAGTAATTTAAATGTTTAAAAAAATCCACAATAAAATTTGTATTTTATATGAAAGTACTCTATAAAAATTGAGAGGTAGTAGTGGTGGGTGATATCATAGATTTGGTTGTGGGAGCACATGATCCTTGCACCAGCTCTGCTTGAGGCAATGCTTACAACTTCTGTATTTATAGTGTCTTGAACTATATGAGTGATTCCTGGATTATGTTGTGTTAAGAACTAGTTATATCTCGAATAAAATGATAGTTCTTTGATCAGGCCAATATATATGGTGCTCAACCTGTCATTGTACAAACATCTGAGCAACCCTTCACTCAATTTGTTGCTGACAACCCAAAGACTACAAAAAGATACGTGTCTATGCAGTGCCAAGCCTGCTAACAACATGGTGTCATTGTACAAATATCTGAGCATTTCCCTCAGTCATTCTTGCTGACCACTCAAAGACTACAATGTTTTGGATATGTAAAATGAAACAGTACATGACTGATATGGTGTAGTGAGCTTAGCAATAAAGGAAGTCATGGTTAAAGATTGTGTAGCCTGAAGAAGTGAAACAGGTTTCCAAAGTGTCTAACCCTTATTTACATTGTTCGGACTATCGTCCTCATCTTTGTTGCCATATTTATCAACGTTTTAGCCGTTGTACATTCCATCCTTCTTCAGGTGGTTGGAATGTGGAACTGAATGCTTTATATGGCAACAAAGATGAGGACGATAGTCTGAACAATATAAATAGTGTACATAATACCTCATCTCGGAAATACAGACAGATGTCTAACCCTTGTACTCACGAAAGATGAGAAACTGTGTTCATAGTGTCTTGATGTATGATAGTGGATCCTGGGTTATTTGTGTGAAGGACAAGTTACGACTGGTATAAAATGATCAGGTGTATGGAAGCATGATGGAGTGATGGTTAGTGGCTTGATTTGAGAAACGAGAAAACTCAATTTTCCAGTCAAGTTCATTACATTTATGTGCTAATACCCTGAGAAGGGTATGAATCCATCTCTTTTTTTTTTTTTTTTTTTCCTCCAACTATGGGTAAAATAGGAGAACAGTCTTATAGCCTTGTTTAGCAACCAGCCTAGGAGAAGCAAACTCTGAATTCAAACTACCTGTTGCTTTGTATAGGTCCTGCCTCTTAACACAAAGGCTAGAAGGTAATTTAAAAAAACAAATTCATCTCTTCAGTATCCCTGGTTCAAAAGGAACCCACAAGCCATTGCACTATTTGGCCTTGAATGTCATCATGAACCACAATTGGAAGATGTTGAAGAGTGGTGACCAACATCGGCACCAAATGCACTAACTGTATCAAATTAATGAAGGGGGATATGCGATGTTGAGTCTGATGACAACATGGTACCATTGTACAAATATCTGGATATTTCTCCTCTGGATTTGTTTCTGACTGCTCAAAGATTATGATGATTTCGACATGTACAATGAAATAATTCATGGTTGAAATCTAATCCAACTATTGAGGGAAGTCATGGAAAAAGAGGGCCAAAGAAAACTTAAGAGAAAGGATATCAATAACGATCTCAAGTGAGTGAAGTTGAGAGAAGACGTGGCTCTCGATAATGAAGTCCGGAGAAGCAAAGAAACAAACATTCAACCCTTGTATCAAGGAAAGAGGATGATAAAGATGGTGAATGAGTGGGTGTGTTGTTGTAGAGAAATTTGTTTCCAAAGATTCTTATCAGTCGGAACATCTGACACATGTTTATGTGAAAATGATGCCAAGTAATTTGAAAGTATTTCTAGAAGATGTGTGTTGCCAAATGTGTTTTTGAATAACAGTTTCTAATATTTACCTACCACCATGAAATGCTTTATCAGCATTTTTGATAAATACTCTTTAGATCAGACACAGGTTTTTCAGTGGCACACAGAATTTGAGGCCAGTGGAGTATCTAAATTAATTTTAGATTATGAGCATTCATAGTGACCACTCATCAGCAAAATACTAGGTGTATTCATTCTAGGTTATGATTGTTCAGTGAGACCAATCATTGGTAAATAACTAGGAGTGTCCATTCTAGATTATGTGCATTCACAGTGACCGCTCATCATCAAAATACTAGGTTCCATTCTAGATTATGTTTCAGTGACCGATCATCAAAATACTAGGAGTGTCCATTCTAGATTATGTGCATTCACAGTGACCGCTCAATCAAAATACTAGGATTCTAGATTATGTGCATTCACAGTGACCGCTCATCATCAAAATACTAGGAGTGTCCATTCTAGATTATGTGCATTCACAGTGACCGCTCATCATCAAAATACTAGGAGTGTCCATTCTAGATTATGTGCATTCACAGTGACCGCTCATCATCAAAATACTAGGAGTGTCCATTCTAGATTATGCATGTGCATGATTCACAGGACCGCTCATCATCAAAATACTAGAGTGTCCATTCTAGATTATGTGCATTCACAGTGACATCAAAAATACTAGGAGTGTCCATTCTAGATCATGAACATTCAGAGTAACCAGTCATTGGCAAAACACTAGGCGTATCCATTCTAGAGTATGTGCATTCACAGTGTTCAATCATTGGCAACCACTAGAAAAAGCAAGAAAAATTTTATTTATTTTTTAAAAAAAATTTTTTTTAACGGTGAAATCCAATAAATATTAATTTCATTTAAAAAAAAAAAAAAGACAAAAAATACTCAGATCTCAACTTGAACACATGTATCCACTTAATATAATATTTATCATAATTATATAAATACGCTTCTCATAGTTATCTAAGTGTTAGTTTTAGTTGTGACATATGTCTAAGTTGCTATCCTTGTTTTTAATTTCTTAAACAGGGGAAATTAATTAACAATTAGCTTAGATCAAGAAGTCTTACGAAAGAAAAACGTGCTTCCTAAAAGGAATTGAACCTGTGTCCCCTTTTAACATCAGAGAAACCACTTGATAACTAAATTGTGCCATTACTAACTTGGCCACAGGAGACATCATTATAAAGTAAAGTGTTACTGTCAGTTGAAATTTATAAAATCTTTCTATTAAAATATTAGGACCCTGAATATGTTCTTGCTGTTTTCCAACAAAATGGCGTTCCCAGAACTGCATGTGTGTAGTTTCAGATGGTAATGCATCCATAAGGAAGTACTACAAGCAAGCTTGAAATTCAGTTTGTCATTTTGCTGAAGTGTATGTTACTGCACTACTTTATTCAAAAGAAATCTGCAGCTGAAGCACACAGAATTCTTGTTGAGGCTTATGGTGACCATGCTCTGTCGTAAACAGTATGCAGAGATTGGTTTAGATGCTTCAAAAATAATGATTTTGATGTTGAAGATAAAGAATGATCTGGCACACCAAAAAATGAAGAATTGGAGAGATTATTTCATGAAGATTCATGTCGGGCACAAGCTGAACTTGCAGAATCATTAAGAGTTGATCATATAACAGTTTTGAAATGTTTGAAAGCGTTAGGAATGATTTAAAAGCAAGGACATTGGGTACCATATGAGTTGAAGCTGAGAGACGTCGAATGGCATCTTGTTACATGTGAACAGCTACTTCAATGGCAGAAAAGGTTCTTTGCTTTGTATCGTGACTGGCGATGAAAACTAGAGACACTATGATAACCCTAGGTGTAGAAGATCATGGGGTAAGTCTGATCATGCATCAACCTTGGCAACAAAGCTGAATATCTATGGTTCAAAGCTTCTGCTCTGCATTTGGTGGGATCAGCTGAGTAGTTTATTATGAGCTGCTCAAACCAACAGAAACCATCATAGGAGATAACTATCAACTACAATTGATGTGTTTGAGCTGAACACTGAAGAAAAAATAGCCACTATATGAGCAGAGACACGACAAAGTGATTTTGCAACATGACACCGCTAGGCCGTATGTTGCAAAACAGGTGAAAACCTACTCAGAAACACTTAAATGGAAAGTTCTACCCCATCCACTATATTCACCAGACATTGCCCCGTTTGATTATCACTTGTTCCGATCGATGGCACATGGCCTGGCTGATCATTCTTATGAAGATGCCAAAAAATGGGTCGACCTGTAGTTAGCCTCAAAAGACAAGTTGTTTTTCCAATGTGAAATTCAAATGCTGCAAGAAAGATGGGGGGGGAGTAGTGGCTAGCAATGAACAATACTTTCAGTGACCTGTTTCTTACTAATCTTTGTAAATAAAACATTACTTTTCATGAAAAATCAGCTATAACTTATTCTAGGTCCTAATAATTTTTTAGGAAAATAGGTTTCTCAAGTCCAGCAACTAATATTGCTCTTTGCAGTGTTGATGGGGATTTTTTTTTCCCAACCTGTTGTTTTGGGTAGTGTGAAATGACAACATCTTGACTGTGTCCTTATTTTCTTGTCAAGGTACACATGCTAACCATTTTAGTTATTTAAATTGTTTAAGTGATGTGGCTTCTGTTCTATTACTACCTCCTTTTATACCTTTACAGTAATCTCATTCAGTAACAGTCTACCTTGAGTGGCTCTTTTGCCTTGTATTGAGGTGGGTAATAGTATTAAAAAAAATAAAATCAGAAGAATCACATGAATTGTTAAGAGCTAGCTCTTTCTTTTATTTATGCAAAATGTTAGATTTGAACACTGAATCGGTTAATGATAGTCATTTGACTGCCATCTTTGAGAAAGTGAATCTCTGGACTAGGTTCAAGATTTTCTAATTTGTTTATGTGAATTTCGGCCTACTACTTCATCTTTTGACTAAACATAACACCCCTCCACCTTATTTTTTCACTTCCTTTCTGTGGTTTTGAGGGGGTTGGTTTTTGGTTCAGTTCTGAGAGGCTTCTGACACAATTCTTAGCCAGCAGCTGGCTGCCTCTTCTCTTCCTTACATATCACTATTATATTTTCTTTGTTTTTTTTTTTTTTTCTTTCTTTTCATCCCCCAACTCTTATCTAACCATATTATTTCTCTTTTTCCTCTTTTCCATTCTTCATTGTGTTCTTCTCCCCTTCTGTATTGGACGAGGTGTAGGGAGGTGGCTGTTTCAGTTTCTTCAGTATTTTTTTTTCTCTCATTTTGTCTTTACTCACTCTCTCTATTCTCTCTCTCTCTCTCTCTCTCTTTACTCACACTCTCTCGGTCTTTACTCATGCTCTCTCACTCTCTACACTCTCTCTCTCCTGCTCTGTTTTTACTCTTTCTCTCAATGCTGTCACATTTCTTTCACCCTCTGCATTTTTCACCCTTTCCACTTTACCTAAACAATCTCCCTCATTGTTTGCTTAAAATCTGTTCCCTCTCACTCTTGCTCTCCCTTCCCTTTATTAACTATCTACTGCACCTACCATCCTCTCTCTTTTTTTGGTTTTTATCTCTCTCTCTCCCTTTCCCCCCTCTCTCCCTTTCCCCCTCTCTCTCCCTTCCCCCCTCTCTCCCCTTTCCCCCTCTCTCTCCTTTCCCCCTCTCTCTCCCTTTCCCCCTCTCTCTCCCTTTCCCCTCTCTCCTTTCCCCCTCTCTCCCTTTCCCCTCTCTCTCCTTTCCCCCTCTCTCTTCCCCCTCTCTTCCCCGTCCCCCCTCTCTACATTTATCTTTCACATTTACTGCTCTCTCTCATTCTGTTTCTCTCTTTCTTTTTCTTCCATATCTACCTATGTTTGAGTTTCAAACAGACAGGCTGGGTCCCAGGAGGCATATTTTATTTTAGTTTTTATTTGATAAAAATCCACCCATAGCATCCTTATTCCGTCTCCCACTATTTATTAAATATTTAAGATGTTTCCTGCCACCTCTTAATTTAGGCAGTAAAGACAATATTTAATTTCTGAAAATTATTAAAAAAAAACATGAATAAAGACAAAAGAAAAACTTAGCTGACATGTTTTGTCCTCTGAAAGACTTTATGCAAGGATTTTATTTTGTAACAAGTATTTGTATATAAGAGCAAAAATGTTGTTAGTTTTTCAAAATTTTTGAGTTTAATAACACTTATACATATTCATCAGGTTAGATGGAATGTCAGGCAAGTATGGGAGACACAAAGTGATACAATTCTATGTCTAATAAATGAAAGTGAGTATCATGTTTTAGAAATTTTCTTTTTGTACAAATTGGTATTTAAATTAATTTAGTTTGGGTTTAATCCAAGTGTTATCTATTTTGAATAACATGAAGTCATGGGATTAACAATTTTCTTTTAATTAACATTTTTGTCTATCTAGCTTGGGAAAATAGCAATTCTTTCAAGAACGAAGATTTTGGAAAAATATATATTTAAAAATTTCCAGTGGCCCCTTTTATTCCAACCACCTCGTCTATTTGAAACTATTTTCTCAGGTCTTTTAAATTTTTGTTACTGTTTATACCAGTGATACTATTTCTGACTCATCTTCCTTACACATCCCTTACCCAGCTTCTGCATACCACACCTAATGTTTCCTCAGCCCACAATCCATGCTAATGATGTAGGTGGCAAGGCACCATGTTCACTAACTTATCAGCCAACTGCCTGCTGTCTTACTGCCTGTCTAGCTGGAAACTCCCCCACACCGAATCTAACACTTTCAGAACTCTTTTATACATAGAGTTGGTCACATTTTCTCTTACAAAAATCTTGCGTCTTGAATTCATTTTCAGGTTCCTTAGAATTCTTCCTTTTCTAACTGAACTTTTGGGCATCTTTGATATTGTTTTTATAAAAAGAATTCCCTTAATCTTAAAATATTGTTGACAATTAGATTTTTTTTTAAGAATGATGGATTGGTCAAAAGTATTTTGTCCAATAATTATAATGGACAGATTCTACTCTCTTAGTACCTTACCCCCAAAGGAAAACTGTAAAAACCTTCTTCTGTGCATCCCCTTCAGGACATGGCTCTTCATAACTTCCTATCCATTGTTGCCCTTAGCAGTTTTTCTACTTTTGCTAAGGCTCCCAAACTCCTCTTCCACCTTTCATTCACAAAATCTTGTCAAGTTGGTGACTCATTGCCTTCTCCAATCTCTCTTGCCATTGATATGCCCTATGAGGGTTAAGTTTTCCAACCTTTCCTTCCTCATTATGTGTCCAAGGAATTTCAACTATCTTTACCTGATTCTGAGCATTTTTTTCTCACACTTCTTACCTGTGAAACTCTCTTCCAGTTTCTTGTTTCCTTGACACCTACATTCTTCAAAAGTTAAATGTCAATTGCCATCTTCTGTCTTCCTGAGTCCTGTTCTTTTACTGTCCTTTCTCCTTGCTAAAGTGTTGTCATTCTCTTCCACTCCCAATAACACTTTGCATCTTTAGTGGCTTTATTGCCTTACTTGAGCTGAAATGATTAAAAGAAAAAATAATCTAGAATTTTTATCTATGGGACAATTGAGCCAAATAAAAAAAAAATAGCATAATAATAATTAAACTTAAGCATAAGTAATTCTTTTAATCTTTCAGCTTCCATCTTATTTTTTAGTTGCTTTTTATTACAACTAATCACACTGGCTTCTAAGTAATTGTGATGAAAAGAAATGAAAAAGATTATGAAAGAAATACCAGTCAAATATTAATAATGGCTGACAATACTTTATGCAATAATAAAGAGCATTATCAAAACCACTTCTTAACAGATTAACAAACAGGAAATTCTCCAAGCTCAAAAGTTGTACATATCTTTTGAGAAAAGAAGCAAAACTTGTCTGGTTTTTAGATAACTGCTTCTTGTGTTTCCTCTGATCTCTTTCTAGATTTAGGCTAATGTATTTTCTCCCATCATGCTTTGCAATAAGCAATTAGCTGCAAAAAAAAAAGTGAGGTATGTGAAGATGCTTTTATGCAAACTACTGATTGCTGTAACTCATTATTGTTAGGAATAACAATAGTTTTAAATAAATATAAATGAATAATTAAGTTAAGGACAGAATTCAAATTCTTCAGAATTACAGTTCCCAAGATTAATGTTAACTTAAAATTTATCAATAAATTGCAGTTACAAAAAATGACTTTTTTTTTTGTTTGTTTTTTCCCACTGTAAGGTTCATGCTATACAAGGCCCAGGAGCCACTCCATATAGAGTAAGGAGTAATTTATATGGATAGGAGAGAAAGATACTCTAGAATTGAACAGGTTAAGATAGTTGTGATTGGAAAAACATCCTCTTGGGAGTCTGTTCCACAGAGTGGTAGTTTGCAGGAAGAAGCTGTTTGAGTGGAACTAACTTCACACCAATTAAATATGGAGGGAACGAGGGTGGTTTGCTACAGTGTGAGTAGTATGGTGAGTCCTAGCTCTTTACTAAGCATAGCTTAGATGTGGCACAAGGCCCAAGGTGTAGAGCACCCAGTGAGGATCACTCGCAATTCAGTCATAATTGATCTAGCAAGACAAGCTTGCTAAACCTTAGAACATGCCAAATTGTCCAATTGAAAGACATTATTAGTTCTAAGTAGCATGATATCTAGGAATGGTAAAGTAACTAACAACACTTGACAGAGATATTTAGAGAGCAACTTTACTAATTATGAAACTTGAACTTCTATGTGTTGTGTCCCTTAAGGAATTTGGCAATCATAGCTCTCCACAATTTCCTGTCCATTGTAGCTGTTAATAAATTTTCTTTTCTTATCTCTCCTAAATGCTGTTACACCAAGCTCACTAAGTAGGACATATGTTGTTTTCCTTTATCCCCCTTGCCTGCAATCTGTCCAGTGTGTATCAATTTTCCCAAGCCCTCTTTCCTCATTATGTACTCTTGAAATTTCAACAGTATAGGTGGTCATTCACTGACATTATAGCAGCAGAAATTAACTTAATTTCATAAAGATAAAAGCATACTTGACAGGAAATAAAATGAAACACAAATAACAAAACATGGTAAATTGTACATTAATTTTGTACAATTTATTTATATTTTGATGTGTATTGGTGTTTGTATTTTTTAGGTTACAATTGTTTTATGGTACATGTGATATAAGGGAGAAATTTACTCCATATCACAGAAATTGGACACCTGTTGCCCGTACCAAGGTTCATGGTGAAGAGGTTAAGTTTAATGTCTTTTGGCGGGATGTCCATATTTCTGGCAGAAACAGATTTTGTTGCATGCTGGAAGTATTTTTTATTTAATTTATTTTATACAACATTTTTATGTTATTTTGTTTTATTCAATTTATAATTTTCATTATTTTATTTTTATTTATTATTATTATTATTATATTCTCCTTTCCTTCTCTTCTTTCCTTTTTCTCCTCTTCTTCTTTCCTTTTTCTCCTCTTCTTCTTTCCTTTTTCTCCTCTTCTTCTTTCCTTTTCTTTTTTCCTTTTTCCTCTCTTTTTTCCTTTTTCCTCTCTTTTTTTCCTTTTTCCTCTCTTTTTTTCCTTTTTCCTCTCTTTTTTTCCTTTTTTTTTTTTTTCCTCTCTTTTTTTCCTTTTTCCTCTCTTTTTTTCCTTTTTCCTCTCTTTTTTTCCTTTTTCCTCTCCTTCTACTACTACTACTACTAGTCTCTTTCTGATATTAAGTATGTGTCCTTTTTCTTTCCATTTTCTCTTGCTAAATAATAAAATATTGTGTGAAGTGTTCAAATGCACCACAGTACTAATGTAGGATTAAAATCTGCTGGTTGCATTCCTCTCCCTATTGAAAAATGTGTTTGTGTTTCCTTCCCTATTTAAAATCCTTTTGCTGTGCATTTCTCTACATAAAATATTATTCAAGTTCATTTCACAATGATTATCATTAGACAATCAGTGAAAGTATAGACATGGTTCTTTTTTTTTTTTTTTTTTTTTTTTTTAAATCCTACCTGTGATACATTGCAGATTACAAAAATAGTGAATTAAAAAATATTTAAAATTTACTAAATAATATATAATCTGCAATTGTGATCCTTGGAAATCATATTTCCAATGGTTTATTTCTCTTGCATGCTAACATGAGTTTATCAAGTCTTTCTGTGAATATCTGCTTCTGTCTGTTCAGAAAATTAACCCTTTCCCAGCGTAGACATGTATATACATTTTCACTGGAAGTATCTTTTCAGACACGGACAAATAAATATGTCCAAAACATAATGTTCAAAAGCCAGCTACAGACGTGCTTGTATAATGATCTTGATTCTTTTTATGCCCTTCTGAGCTTGAAATTAGTTCAACTGTCAACTCATGTGTCTGGAAGAGGTATAAGCCACTGCTCGGGTACTTCAAGGTGCCTCAGTTTCTTAGTTACTATGTTAAAAACAAATAAAACAAATTTGTCTGAAAATGAAAAGTTTTTTTCCCAAAGTAATTGTCAGGGAAGTGGTTAAGTCATAGTTTTTATTCAAGCATAGAATTCTGGTATAACAGAGAAATACATAACTTTTATTTTACTTATAAGGTAGAGATTGCGATATGTGTTGAACAATGCTTTACTGATGTTTTTTTTTTTATTTATTTATTTATTTTGGCAAAAGACTTCTTTATGCTGCGTGACTTTGAGTTGAAAAATTGGAACGGACTGATGTTTTGCGATAAACAAATGTAATTAGTTGCGGGGAAATTTTATAAGTTAATGCATCTGTTTTCTTCGACTAGCATTAATTTAAAAACAAAATCACTTATATCAGTGACATTTTCTCTTCTGAAGATTGTTTCATTATTTATGAATGTTGGTAAAATGCTTTGATAAAATATTGACTGTGAATAAGAGTATAATTTGAGATGAAAACCTTTTTGTACAAATGTCGAGATAAGTGAATTGCGCTGTTCTGTTGATATATTAAAAAGAAAGTGCAGTTCAGAATGAAAATTGCCAAGTGGTTAATACTTGGCAGCTGGAATACCAACGAGTATGAAAGTGACTTGTTCAAGTGTATCAACTTGGGTGCCATAACTTGTTAACAGAAAAAGAATGAGAAACGGGGCATGACAAAAGAGAAAAGTACTTTTATTTGATTTTTACTTTTTAATAGCATATTAATATATAATAGTTGAGGCACAGTGGAGTAATAGATAGTGGCTTGGATTGAGGAATTGGAGAGCCAAGTTCCAATTCAAACAAATCCATTACATTCATTTATGAGCTAATATCCTAGGGAAAGGCATGAATCCTCTTTTTCTCCCCCCGCGGCTATGTGTTAATAGCTGGACAGACCAGGTTCTATAGCCTTTAATGGCAACTGGTCTACTGCAGAAAGAAATGGCAACCTACTGTGGGGGAAAAAAAATCTGTCTCGTCAGTCCTGTATTGAAAGATACAGGATTGCTTAATGCATGCCACATAACTGACTGAATAGCATGTTTGGTGTTTTTCATTTTCTTTGTCTCTTTTTTTTTTTTCTTGTGTGTGTAATATATATATATATATATAAATATATAAATTCCCAAGAGGATAAAATCCAGGTAGAACTCGATGTCCAGGACAGAGTAAGAATATAATATAAAAGGCTCAAACACTAATATTCCATGGTTATAATTTATTACATTGGAATCGTAATCATGATCCAATTCATCTTTTTTTTTTTTTTTTTTTTTTTTTTTTTTAATTTGTAGGTCTGTATGTAATAAATTATAACCATAGAATATTAGTGTTTGAGCCTTATATATTCAAATACTAGGAAAAAAAACAATGATATTTATGATTCAGAGTTCTTAGCATTATTTATTTTTAAAAAACAGTGCTCAATACAGTACTACAGCATAATACTATAATTTTTTTTTTTTTTTTTATAATATACAATCATCACAACATCGAAATTCCATGTTTCAAGACTGAAACTTCAATTTAAATTCAATCACAAAAATTAAACTTAAAATACAAAGTTCCGTTCCATCATCAAGCAATGCTAAGAATAACACTTATTTTATATCTTTTTATTTTAGGAGTGTTAAGATTTAACTTATTTAGAAAACTCTTGTATTTAATGTATTGTAGCTATCCAGTCAGTCAAGTCAAGGTGGGGGCTGGGGTGTCTGTCTATTGATACAAACTTTTTTTTTTTTTTTTTTTCAAGTAGAAATTTGTGGTATTGTCTATATTTTAACACATCATGTGGGTTTCAAAAGCAATACATTTGGCATTTTTTATATTTTTTATTTAATTTTTATTTATTGAAACCCAGACAATGTGTTGGAACATAAAGTAACATAGATCGTAATATAGCTTCCCTCTGCTTTTTCTATCAATATTTTCATGGCAATTGTTTCAATGTGCTTTCCTCTATGGTACCTAGACTTTATGAATTTAAGTGCAGTACTAGATTGGTGGCAAGGTCTCATCATTTTACAGTTGGCTACATGTAACTATGAATTCTATGCTAACAGTTTCTTCTCTGGTACTTCTCACTTGTGGAAATCTCGTCCGGCCTCTTGGTTCCCAGTCAAATTTGATCTTCAAAAATTTAAATACAATGTTAATGGCTAGCTAAGTTTAAGATAAGACAGATTGAAGACCAGCCTTTCCCCTACTCACCATTTTGGCCTTGTGCCATATTTTGTATTTTCAAAATAAATATTACTTCTCTCTGTGGTACCTAGACTTTATGAATTTAAGCACAGCATTAAATTAGTGGCAAGGTTTCATCATTTTTACAGTTGAAATGGCTAGATGTTTCTTCTCTCACACTTCTCACTTGCAGAACTCTCTTCCAGCTTCTTTTTTCCCCATCAACTTTACATTTGAATTTTTGAAGATCAACGTCAATCATTAAACTTCTGTCTTAATTCCTGTTCTTTTATTGTTCTCTCTTCCTAATAATGTTTTCTTTTTCTCATTCTGTCACACTTAGTAACCCCTTGCAACTTAATGGCATGATTGCCTTGCTTGGGATGAAATGAAAAAAAAAAAAATGCATATTGCATAAGTGGTGTCATGTTTAAAACATTTTTTTGTGTGTCTCACTGTAATTACAAGGGGGAAGGATTATTTGTTTTAAAATGTTTTATATATCCTAAAATATTGGGCTTTGTTAGATTTTTTTTTTTTTTTTCTGCTACCCTTGAAAACTAATGGTAACGAGTGCGGCATTTCAAATCCGGATTTCTTGACCCCCCCCCCATCTCCAACCTCAAAGACTAATGTCTACATGTGCCAGTTCAATTGTATATGTGGTAATTTCTACTTTATAAGAAATGAGAAATATTTCATATCAAATTCCCATTCTTTTAGCAAAATCTTTACTCCCTGCCTTTTTTTTTTTTTTTTTTTTTTCTCCCATCTTGCTTACCTTTGTTTTCTTATTCTTTTGAAAATGACTTCACGGTGTGTTAGTTTGTAGGTATTTAGAAGTTATTTGCAGTCCAATGATAATGAAATAGAGCAGAAACCTACTAAAGAATTCAGAGTCCTTTTTCTATTATAAGTGAGCATCTATTTCAGCCAATGTTGACTTATTAAATTATTGCTAAGAAAGCATTTCTTTTGATAGATATTTCTCATAAAATACAGGTGTTTTAAGTTAAAACTGCTGAGGTATATTCATCAGATTAAATATGAGTATGTCATCAAAACTTTAACAACATTGGTTGGTTAATGTCAATTGTATTATGAAGACATTGACTTGCATAATGAAGTCCAAAACAGTTTAATATTAATAAATCTACGACAGATCAGTTTATTACTTAACAATAGAAAACTGATCCCTCCCTCACTTTATGTCCAGTAGGTTGTATGTTATACTATAGCTATAAACTGATAAATGTTTTAAAAATATATAAGTACTATCCAATTGCATCATTAGCAAATTGAAAAATAAAGCTTCTGCAAGTTTGCCATTTTTGTTTATTTGTAAGTTTCTATGTTATGCTATAGCTATAAACTATTAAATGCATTAAAGTTGTAGCCTCTGTCTGTATCAAACTCCTAGAGTTTTGGAGATAGACCCCCATAACTATATATATTCTGAAACTACATTATCCAGGGTACTTGGATAAGTATTTTCATTTTTTTTTCCCTTTGATTTAAATTAAATTTAAATTTGAACAAGGTAATGCCTCCTATCCAAAATATAGGAGAAAGCCAGAAGATGGAGGTCACATAGGCAAGATCATTAAGTAACACTGAAATGCATCATTTTTCTCCATAAATTATAACAAGGATTTAAAATCATTTTCTTACAAAAAAAAAAAAAGTGTGTGACATGCAGCAAGGCATATATAATTATATATAGTATATATATATATATATATATATATATATATTATATAAGACTTCTGGTTCATAAATATTCTCTAGTTTCTATGACTATCGGATTATGTATGTCCCATAGAAGTCTACTGAAATGTTTGAATCACAAAAACTATTTAAATACAATGTTCCAGTGTTTTACAACAATGACATCATCAGGCAGAAATTAGTTACCACAAGATTAAACAAAAAAGATGTGTAGGCGATGTGGTCTGTATCATATTTCTCTCTCTCTCTCTCTCTCTCTCTCTCTCTTCCTGGACTATTTTTTGATTCAAGTTCCATATGTATGTGGGATCTTCACATTAAAAAAAAAAAAAAAAAAACCCATTGTGCCACT